TATTTTATTTTGAAGGCATGTTTAAATACAATGAACTTAAAATTATTGAATCAAAACAATCTAAAATATAAACAATCAACGTCCCCCCCTCAGCGGGCCACGGTAAAATTATTAAACGTTGACCGGTCCGCGGCGATAAAAAGGTTGGGGAGCACTGCCCTAGAGGACTGACAAAAAGATGCTGCGAGGACAGCTGCGGAGGCTCTCGTTTTAACATCAAAAAGAAGCTCTTGCAACATCAAAAAGCTTATAACACCAAAGCTCATGTAACTTCCCAGAAGAGCTGCCCTTTAACATCAAGAAAGAATCTTCACAAGCCTTAGGCTTTGGCTTTAAGTTTTTGAATTGTCACAGCATTTGCTGAGAACGGTTTGTGTTTTCATTTAAACTCATAGTGGCAGCTGCTGTTTTGTGTGTAATTGGGAGTTAACCAACCCTAGTGATGATCGCTCTCAGTGGGCTGGCCTCAGATTGTTGTCCCACAAGCTGGGAAATCTCTGTGCAGGGTGAGGCTGGGAGTGTTATCGCCATGTCCTTGTCACGGTTTGCTCAGTTCAGAACTGCGTACAGTTGCATGTTATTGGTGTACAGTGAGTTCAGACCAGGCCCCTTCGTCACACCGACAGGGTCACCTACTGAATTAATTTTGACTGGTTCATCAACAACTGGCTGAAATTCGTTGTGTATGGCTAGCAGAAGACAGGAGGTGTGTTACTGGCCGAATCACCAGCTAAAAATAAAAACCGAATGCAGCCACCACATTTAGGAATTGCTAAGCTGCAATATATTACATTTTTGGTTTTAGGTTTAGATATGCTTTCATTAAAACAGAGAAAAGGGTGTCCTCTGCCTGGCTTGTGCTGTGTGGCAGGGCAATGAACATTTCAGGACTGGATGGATATGAAATGCCTGAGCCCCCATTCACACTTGAGCGTAAGCATTTTTTGACCATATTGAAGGTTTTTTTATGTCCTCATTTTAAATTTGTTTTCAGGCATTTGTGTTTTGGCCTATGAAATGCAGTATCATCTGTGACACCATATGTCCTCATTTACATATCAGCTTCCTGGTTTTTCTGTCTGGTGTTGTGGTGTCTTGGGCTATCTAAGCTCCCAATCTGGGAAAATGTCACACCCCATGTATTCCCAGGCCCTCCGCTGCTTGCCATGGTTCTTGTAATGGGCCTCACTGAGGTTGTAGAGGCTTTTGTGGACCCTCACCAGGTGGATGACAATGTCCATGTCCAGCATGGACACTCCTGAATCCTTCATTTTGCTCACAGGCTTGAGGTTGCTAGAAGGAGGATACCGTTTGTCAGGCACAAAAACGCATTAAAACGCTCGTCTTGCACATTTCCAATTGCTCGCTTTGAAGTTCTGTTCAAATTCGGATGCATTCGAACTTCGGAATTTCGATTGAAATGTATCCAAAGTTTCGGATGCAAAGTGGGAAATTCAAACGTAACCAAAATTCAGATAGATTCATAATCAAAAGTTTGGATGTATCCAAATGTCCGAATTAAAGAAATGTATCCAAATTTCAATGCGGAACAAAACAAAACTTACATATCTAATGAAGCCTATGGGGCCAAAAAGAGTGATTCTTTCCAGAAAAAAAGCCTATGTACTTTTTTACCCGACAAGTGGCAGCATGACGCTCATTTGTAAGTGAGCACTATTGAATATAATGGAAATCTTCATGTTACGTGTTGCTGCACTTAGTGACATACATGATATCACTCAGGAGGGAACGGGAGCTGATATGAATTCCATTTTTGTCTTTAGCCGTTTGTCTGGAGTTCATGTTTAGGTTTTTACTATATACTCTGTTTGCAGACATGTGTGGTCCGTGCATGGGATATAACGAAGCCATTGCTGTTCTGCCCAGCCATGAACACCGCCATGTGGAATCATCCAATCACAGCACAACAAATTAAAAGTCTTCTAAGTTTTGGCTACACAGAGATCCCATGTATTGAGAAGACCTTGGTGTGTGGAGACAAAGGTCAGTGGCTGAAATTTCAACAAACCTTGTTTTAATCTCTCTTTCTTTGGTATTACGGGTGCCTTAAAGTGCCAGTCAAAACTGGGAAAAACCATCTACCGTATTTTTTAAGTGATTAGATCACTTGTATTAAACGAGTGGCGGCCCCACGCTGTACATTTAGCTCTGCTTGTCAGAAGCAAGGGCTGAATGTACAAAAAAACTACTCGCCCGGCACCCGAAACTGGGCGTCAGGCGATAGGGATTCGCTCCATAAGGCGCACAGACATTTATGCCCCCCTTTTGGGGGGAAGAAAGTGCATCTTATGGAGCGAAAAATACGGTATATGTTTATGTGTTCCTATTCACACAGCGTACAAAAAATATTTAAAAATATATATTTATTACCTTTTAAATATTTTGTTAAGAAGGCAAAATGACTTCCAGTTTTTTCTCAGTGATCCGTCCTTATAGAAAGACTAAAGATAGGAAAGTGTGGATTGTGTTTCTCTCATTAACATACAATGCAGATGCTAGGTTTGTATTCCACCCCCTGCCGCTCCGTCCCCCTTCTCCTCTTGCTCGCTCGCTCGCCTGCCGACATTAGACAGCTCGGCTGCCTTAATGTTGTGGTGCCTGAACTTTGGCAAAATGAGGTGGCTGCTGTGCGGGCCACATTACAAGGTCCGACGGGCCGGATTCGGCCCGCGGGCCTTGTGTTTGCCACCCCTGCTTTAACCCATTGTTAGGACAGGCAGCGTTTAAATCTACGTTACAAATTATAATGAAATCAGCCAGCACAGTACAGACAGGGTTAGGAAACCCCTGACAGTTCCATCTGACATTACAAAGAAGGAGAAGAAGTAAGATTTGCTAATAAATGCAATGTAATGGCTAAGTTCAAGAAGAAGAAAAAAGTCAAAAATAGTGTGACCAATTATTATAATGGCAAAATCCCTGCAGGGGGTGTATTTCTCTGATATTGATTTTGTATAGAGGAGTGATGGTACCTCCCAATGGGTTTAAAACACTTCCATGTATAATAATTAGGATATCAGTACATATTTAGGCTTGTGTACGTCTAATAGACAATTCTGACATAACATTGCTTCTTGTGTCAATAAAACAGGTTCCCTTGAGTGGTAAGAGGAGAACACTGGAAAGTTTTATGTATAGCCTGGGAAGCTTGTGGGAAGATACTGGAATGTGTCAAGGGTTATCCTGTTGCCAATATTTATGTCAGAGGTGCCATCCCTCCCATGAGAAATTGCCCTGGCAAATTGGGCATATGTCATCTACTTTAACAAATCATGTATGACAGTAGAGGGGTGTATATACCTGCGTGTGTGTGCGTGCGTAGATAAATAGATGTTAATAATTTTTACATTATTCCAATTAAATCCAAAGACGTTCCACCACAAGGTCAATATTGTATAATGCTCGATGCAGAAATCTAACACAGTACAACACTATAACACTCCAGACTCTCTCCTCTTCAAGTATAGTAAAGAATAGTCCACCATGACAAAGACTAAGGATGGATCAAGAAAATGGAAGATGGAAAAGGGGCTTTATACCTTGTGCTGTCATGTGGTCTGCAGCAGTTATCCATGGCAACCAATCAGCTTCTCTGTTCAGTTTGTTCCATTAAGGTTTGAAAATGAAAGGTGGTTGCCATGCACAACTGCTCCAGATTCTGTCTGCTCCAGTTTTGATAAATTCCCCCCAGTGTCTTTAACTGGCTATGAAGAATAGAAATGGAAATCCAGCTGTGGGTGTCCTCCATCCAAGATGGTGAAATGCGTTATTACACATATAGCCCACACCAGTTTGCCTTGCATGTAAATACACCTAAAATATAAAATGTTTTATCTGTATAAATCACCCATATAAATATGTAAACTTCCACCACCGCTTGTACATTCTTGGAAATATATTATACACATTCGCTGATGTTCTCATTACTGTTTACTGCACAGTTAACACCTTATCTCTTCATACCAGATTATTATCTACACTCCCAACATTTCTAACTTGTCTCGTTGTTTGATACATCGCTTAGTGCCACCTTTTGTTTTCCCACAGGTCTTGGAGCCATGGCAGAAGTTGACAACATCATTGACAAAGTCAGGGAAGTCTTGTTGAAGTTCCAACTTCAGGGATGACGTCCACAACTAACACAAAAACCCTGCTGGCTGCGATCTGCTTTTCCTGGATAATGCCAAGAATCATTTTATTAATGGTTTATGACTATGATTATATCATCCTAAAATAAACAATAGGCTGGGAAAATAATATTTAGCTTGACAGCCTGGAGGCAGCCTTGTGGCAGAGACTTCTGGTGTTAAAATGCCAACTCTGATTAGAAGGGAGCTTTTTGTACAGGTCTGATCACACTGATTTATTCTCCTCAATGCACAGTATCAAATCCACATACAGTATAGCACATCTTAAAACATTGTCAAAATAACATAACGTAGAATGAATTATATATGTATATATTTGTATGTGTTATTGTCATGTCGCATCACGGTGGATTTATTTATTTTTTTACAATGAACAGAAATACACTCGGCAATGTCAAAGTGAAAACATTGAACCTACAATTTGTTTGATCTAACTAGGTAACCACAATGGAATATGACCGGGATTAAGTTAGAAGTGAACTTTAGGTGTCTGTTCTAAAAATCCATCCAAATATGACATTTATAGGTGGTAATAAACACATGTTTTTGTGATTTGGAGGAATTTTTTTTTAGTTAATTTAGGCCAAGGAATATTTTAATCTCCAATGCAAGCAAGCATGTGATTTAATAAAAGAAGCAAACACAATGTTCCTGGTGGCTGATGACAGTGTTTTTTACATAGTTCAAACGAACTGCATAATTATAAGGGTTTTTGAAAGCAGCGACTACATTTTTTTTTTCCCCTCTCAAATTTATCGCTATACACTTGGAAAAGCAAGTACAAAAACAGTAGAGTTGGGGGAGAGGTAGACAGAACAGGGTACTAGTAAATCTTAGTACAGGAATTGTAATGGAACATAGGTATAATATTAGGTTTGTCACGTCAAAAAGATGATTGAGCCAGAACATTCGTCTTTAGAAACTGACAATGCGAAACTGCTCAACCATTCAAAAAGATATGTAATTATTTTACTTCATGGATGATTGGTGATTTTAGACTATTGCTTCACTGGCTAGGGTAACATAGAAAATACAGTATGTTCAGCCTGGACCTTCGTATGATTTCATTTTTACAAATTTATAATTGGTTACAATTATGCCAAAATGGAAACACAAGCATTTCAAAGTGTGAAAGTCACATCAAAATCTACTTTAAAGGGAAATTCCGCATTTTAGAAAAAAACATTAATTGCACACTTCTTCATAAAAGAAAAACATAATGTGGATTTAGTATTTTTTTTGCATTGGAGCCAGTATAGCATTGCAACTGTGATTACTGAATTGCGAGACAAAGCACTGGCAACTGCAGACGCTTCCTCCCATCCATGTCCATACCTCACTAAGGACATTCAGTAACATGGACAATGGAAAAATAAATGGACCACAAGTGTAGTGATGTCAGTTTTCCATGGAGAACTAGAAGTACCTCTGCTGCTGCTTCAAATTCAGAAATGAACGCTAGTCTGCGGGGAGAAGAAACCTGCGATTCAGGTAAGTGTGGGGGGGGGGGGGGGGGGGGAGACTGCCCCCCAA